TGTCTATTAATGTGTTGTAAACAGTTCAACGTTTATGTGAAAGTTTTTTGCTTGTTTTTTTCTCTTCTCTTTTTTCTTGGCACGGAATTTTATGCAGTGACCAAAGAATAGAAATGAATTCAATTTTTTTGTTGTCATATATCTTCCAACATTTAAGAATGAAAAAATGTATACAGATATGTAACTTCTGGCTTTTGAACTGATGCTTAGAAGCAAAATATTGTGTAGTAATATGAAGTAATAGCTTTAAACTTACTTTACTAATACCTGTATGTGGATTTGCAGTTAACTCGGAGTCAATAACAATAAGGATTAAACCAATTAACGCTAAAGTAAGCGAATAATCGCATACTTTATTACGCTTTATAAACAACTGCTTTCGTAAACGGAATCGCATTTTTGCTGTACTTTCGCTGCAAATAAATATCAAAAATGTAATTCATTTTTGAGGTCAGTCATTTTGTAGAACAAAAAAAGTAATTTTGAAAATAATACAGGTAGAAGAAGTCTAAATTTTTATGATTAACATAAGTCAGTGTAATTACAAAAAGTATTGAAAAACAGTCAATTGTATTCAAAATCCCTATTTTTATTATTGTATTTTCTTTCTGTTAAATGCAATCTGCTTTTTTTGCCATTCTTTTAAACATTTTACAGTTCTATTCATTTTTAATTTTATTCTTTTTTTATCGTTTCTTGATGCTATATGACCGCTACGCTCGAGAAGAAAACAACTGATATTCCTTTGGTGTCGGTAATGCCGAATGTAATGCCTATTGCCCTTGCAGAGTCATCTCGCTAGACCAGGCTTGGTGCTAAAACTGCTGGCAGACAAATGGCCGCAAAACAATAAGGCATGTCGACGTATCAGTTTAAAAAGTTTAAACAGCAACGAACAGGAAGGAGAAAATTAGACGGGATACTAGTAGAGGTGGAAAAGACAAAAGTTATTAGCAACTGAACAACAGAATAAGGAAGAAGAAATTGAGAATAAAAGACATTTTCGAAATTTTCAGCAAAAGTAGTTTTACAAAAAAAAAAAAAAAAAAAAAAAG